GTTTACTAAAAATGAACACATGAATAATGCTCACGTAATATTTGAAAAGGGCCTATCAACTTTTGTAAATAATTTGCTAGGTCGTTTTCACGAGAACCGAAGTACGCCCACGCAAACCAAGAGCACTATCGGGAAGAGGAGAATTTCATCGGCCCTAAGGGTGTTGTTAGTTTTCGTGAGCGTATTCGGTTCGCGCGAAAAAGGCTTAACAAGTTTTGTGTACATAAGTTGATAGACCCGTTTCAAATGTTACGTGAGTATTATTCATGTGTTCATTTTTAGTAAACAAGGCCCCGCTGTTGTGTCACTTTTTGTCGAGTGAGTGAACTTAAATCCATCCGTGCACTCGTCTATAGCATCTATAATTACAACTAGTAGAATCCGAGGAAGAGTCCTATAAGAGGAACAGGGTAAATAGGAGATTCTCATCGACGTCGGTCATCATTCGCGAGGTCATTGGTTTATCTAGAAGAATCACATCTGCTTGCTACCAAGCTGTTGTCGTATACGGCAGCTGTCAAACGCAGATTCCTTGGGAGAGAAAAAGGGTATATTGAAGATCTATTCGAATTAGGTGCCATAACTGAGGATGGGTTGTTATTTCTGGGTAACTGACTCCGGGGAAGTATTTGCCGATGAGATTCGCCTTCGTGTGACTCGAGCTGTTATCGACAGTCGACTTTTCTACGGCCCCGAAACAACCTGCTTAGCCGCCGAGAAGCTCAACCACATCCTCGCTCCGGTATACAATACCTACGTACGCATCGTATCCGGCCTTCTCCCTTCCACACCTACAGATGCCGCATGTGTGGAAATCGGAATCCTCCCTTTCTGCTATCGATCTGCTGCAGCCATTGCCGCTGCCCTCACTGTTAAGGCATCCGGGAACGAAATGGTCTTTCGTGGCCAACCGTGACTTCCCCCTGGTGGCCAGGGTCCACTGGAATGGAGAGAAGAGTTGGCGATCAAACGTCGTCAAAATAGATAAGCTGATTAAGAGTGGATTCCAAGCCGGAGATAACTCTGTAGCTTTGAGACGTTCTGTTGCAGAGCTTCTCGGGTCGGTTTATCAGGCGCACGTTCATCGCTTTACGGATGGATCGCGGTCGCGGGCTGGAGTTGGACTCGGAGTGGCAGGACCGAACACTGCAACGAGTCAATGTCTACCGGAGGAGTATTCCGTCTTTTCCACTGAAGCCGCAGCCATCACTCCGGCAGATCAACCGATCCTCGTATTAACTGACTCACACAGCGTCATCCAAGCGCTGGAAGCCGAAGCCCCGAGCCACCCCTGGATACAAACCAATACACGGTACGCCCCACCTTCAACCGTCTTTACGTGGATCCCCGGACACTGCGGTGTTCCCGGAAACGAGGCTGCGGACAGACTGGCGGGATCTGGTGCATCCCGTTCCCGCTACACCAGGAACGTACCCCTCGTAGAAGTCAGGCGTTGGATTGTGAATACTATTATGGAAGCCTGGCAGCAAGAATGGTTCCAGTCGCGGACCACTTTCCTGAGGAAGATCAAGTAAACCGTACGCTCCTGGCTGGACAGCCAAAAGTACAAGGACCAGCAGATCATCTAAAGACTCCGGACCGGCCATGGGAGGATTTCCTGTAATTTGGGTGGGACACCTTTCCGCAAGGTCTGTTCAATTTGCAGCATCCCCGCCTCGGTGGAACACGTGCTGTGTGTGTGTCCGGAGTTCCAGAAGCTACGCGAACAACATGGACTCCCGGAGAACTTCAGTAATCTGCTTGGTTACGACCACTCGACGTTGGCTGCGCTAATCGCCTTTCTGAAGGAAGCCCACTTGTATGATCAAATCTAGCCCCCGTCGGTGGCTGCACTGATCGTGTGTTCCTCACGTTTCTATTTTTTTTCTGCCGTTTGGGGTTTCTCCGCCGGACCGGACACTGTCTCCTAGGGTGGAGCCACAGGAGTGGAACTTCGAATCAGAAAGTGGCTCCACTTGTCATTTGCGAACACTAGCGCACCTAGCGGTAGAAGGCATCTTCTGCCTTCAGTTATGATAGGCAGCATGCTGTGATAGTGTGAGTGCACGTAGAAAGCCCATGTGGAACGCTACCACAACACATCGCTTGTTGAGCAGAAAAACGAAACACTTTTTGATTCACCGATTTGTTTGCACTTCTCCTTCTGTTCTGTGGTGGAGCTCTACATTGCTCGCGCACCCAGCCCTCACCACAGCCCCGATCTAATCCTCACCTTACATTAAGTTTTTTTAAATGTTGTGTCTCATTCGTTGGGTAATCAGATGAACGTGACTCATGTCAAATTGAAATCTATTTTTTTAGGCAGGATCTAGCCTGACCATCTGCTGTGATGAACTAGCCTATGGCTAAAAATCATGGTAATAAAGAAAAAAAAAGTATTTGCCGATGATAAGAGCAATAAACTTTCTTGGAGGAGCAATTTTAACATACCAAAAACGGTCCGACTGTAAGTGGGGTGTCGCTGATGATTTTCAGCGCAGCTGCGATTACCCTGGTTTTGGTATACTTGGTAGCCGGAATGTGTCTATTCCTTTGCAACATATCGGGTGAGATCTTGCCTTTATTGTTCTCTTAACAATAATTCCATTATTATATGACACAGTATATGCTGGGTATGGGACGATCCAACCAGGGCACCCGATTGAAGCGATTTGGATGGGGAGAGTGGAATTGCCAACTTCCTGTCGTTAACAGATTGAAGGCGGGCTCTTCTTCACCACTCATTGGGACATCCCATCGTGGGATGGGTTGTACATTACCGGGTTGTATTGTTGGAAGGAGATTCTCTTAGATCCCGCGGACTATGCGCAAGTGTCTCTGCTTACAGGTTCGCCCTCCGTTTTTGGCCCTTCATGCAATGGTAAATTGAATACAATCTGTTGTTGTACTTGATCAAGTCGTACGAGGTGGACAGTCCACTGTCTAATGGTTGTGCCTGCAACAATGAGTGGTTTCCTTTACATACATACATACATACTAGGTTGCCGGAATGTGTCTTGTGTGGAATGATCTTCTGCTTCAGGCATTAGAATGTACGCTGACTGTGTTTCGGGAAATCTAACTTGGTATTTGGGGAATCCATGGTGGGACCACCGACTAACCGACATGAATGACCATAGCAAAAACAATAAAAATTCTGACCAAAGCACACTGCTGTCATCTGGCTCCGTGTTTGCGGGAAATATTTAGCTAAGCCATGAGCCCGCATGCAAAAGTTATGAATTGGTTCGTGTCTGATCTATTCTGGACAAATTGTTTTTATCTAGATCAAAAAACAGTTTGGATCACTGCACATTTAAACTGGCGTTAACGATTTTTGGGCATAAGTCAGAGTTAAGTGTCATGTCGGTTTGTCGGTGGTGGGACTATGCAAAAATTAACGCTTGCTGTTTCCAAAAGTTGGATTGCGTTAACATCATTAAAATGTTAACACAGGCGCAGACATAGTGAAGTGTTGCCAGTTACTATAAAAATCATATAAAATCTAACCATGGGTGCCAAACAGTGCCAATGAATGAGCCCAGGTGTGCCCTAATATTTTTTGGCACACTGTGGGGGGTGACTAACTACTTGGGTCTCCGCTATTTTCCTGAAATTAATAAAACAGTCCTATAGTTCTCGAAATTTACCTAAAGTTTTTGAAACTTTCCTGAAGTTTCGGTAATTTTTCTGAAATTCAAGGAACTGCCCTTAAGCTATCAAAGCTGCCCCGAGGTTCACAGAAAAGTTTTTGCAGTTTTATTGTTGTTAATTTATCTGCCCTGGTGGCCTTTTCTGAAGTGAATTTTTTCCAAAAACTTTGGGACTATCTTGAAGCTATTGGAAATTTGAGCGCATACAATTTTAAATCGGATGCGCTTACATATTTGAGGCACATTTGCCAGCTAATTTATTTTCCAAACGTTTTTTTAAGTTTAAGGAATATTTTCATTCCACATTTAATGGTACAAATTGAATCTGGATGACGACAGAACATTTCTCATATTGTATGTTTTAGGCGCAATTTAGCTAATATTAGTACTGGGTGTCCAAAAATTCTCTTATATATGTTGGTGCGTAGCTTTTATGAGAGAAGCGTATGTAGAACGATATTGTTGCACCCAGTTAATATTGATTATAGAATAAGAATAATAATAATTACGTCAGATGGCGACTTGACTGTGTAACAATCGATAAAACCGTTTTCGCTCATCAGGTACATGAGCAAATCGGCGATCATTGATTTTTTCAGTGATGGCAAGGAGAAATACCCCTCACCACCCCTCACCACAGGTGAGTTTGGTAAAGGGATTGATTGATTGATTTATCTTTATTAAGGGGACTTTCAGCCTGAGGCTCACAGATAAAAATTCTGAATTTTAATTGTGATGTAAACATTCATTCACGTAAACTTAAATTTAATTTCACGCAACCGAGCAACTTGTAAACAATGTTGTTTACAAAGATGAGCTTTTGTATACAATATTTGCTACATTGCATGAAATGTGCCAGAACTTTACATGATATATAACGTAATCTCATATGAAATGTGACGCTCCATTTATGTGCATCATATGGAACAGAAATTTACACTACATTTTAGAACTGCACACTTAGAAAAAATCATGTAAATTTAGGTGCTCTGAGAGTGACATATACGAGCGTCAATTTTGACATAAATTTGAGTCATAACAGACGCGAAATATAGCTCAATTAAACGTACTTTTCGTCGGGCAACGAACTTTTCAGTCTCGGAGCACTTAATATTACATGACATGTTTGTTTACGTCTCATTCTTTATGTCAAATACGGATTCCGTCACGTGTAAAATTAGTTATTTCTAAGTGTGTCAAAAAGTCAAAAATTGAATATTCCATCAATTTCACAAACGTTTTCGTTAATAACTGCAGAATAACATCTTTAGTAAGGAAGTTCACTCAAAACATTGACACCTATAGACGTTTTAGTTTATTAACATTATCTCTCATCTTTCATTTCAGTTATTTTCTGCCGGATATATATTCTTCTCCATATCGGGCATTCTGGCTCACAACTGCCAGTTGAACATGACCTCGTCTCCTGAGGAATACGGCATTTATATGTATTACCTGCGCAGTAAGTTTGAGCGTCCTTTAGATGGGTTCATTAGTTAACAATTTACAAATCTCGCCGTACAGACTCGGAATGTGGTGCCGTCAACCTAACTAACCTGGGCATCAGAGACATCCCCAATGACTTCAAAGTCATTGTGCCAGATGTTTCCGAGGCAGCCCAGCGGACCTACATATTCTGCATCGTCGGAGTGATTCTGTTTGGAGTGTGGTTTATTACGTCAGTGTTTTCGTTATGTAAGGATGACTTGCTTGCTGGTATTTTCTTTAGTTCGATTAATCTAGTTTACTTTTTTTAGTTTCGATATGCACTTCTTGCATTGGAAGATGCTGTGTAGCAGTTGGAATATATCCGTACGTTATTACCTTGTTCCTGGTGCTTGTCTACAGTGCCGTGGCATTTGTATTCTACTTGATTGATTTCATCGAAAGCTTTGTACGAATGAATTGATCAAATTTGTTCCAATCTTTGTTTGTGTTAATGGACTTTTTTTTTTATTTCAGGACATCGATTTTGTACTTGAGCTGCTGGAAATCGAAAATAAAAAAGATGTTCGAATATTGTTGAGGACAATCGATGAGATTATACTAGTCGTTCCTCCCTTGATTATGTGGATCACAGTAAGCTTCGGAGTCTTATTCTGGTTCATGTTTCTAACGTTGGCCTTCGTGATGCTTGGAGTCGCTAGTCGTTTGTGGGAAGAGAACAAACCTGCTCCTTCATATAATCAAGCAGTACAACAAACCAGAACCACCATGCCAGCTACAGCCCCTGTGGAAATGACTGAACATCACACTGCAGTTGTACATCAATCAGCTGTCCGCTATAACGATCCTGCACTACAACCAAACGAACCAATACCATACCACCAGCTGCCTCCTTCTATGATAGACGTCCGAAGAACTATCGAACCGCTGAAGAGCGGCCATGAACCCATGCAAACTTTACAGGTTTCACATGTACCGTTGAGCAATAACAACAACAACACCCACTACAACAACTACCCCAACGAGCCTCCATCACCTCTGAGACAGCAGTCCATGGTCAACCCCTACACCGACAAACGGTTTTCCTACATGCCTGGAAATCCGCAACCCTTCTCGTACCTCGCGGGACCATCGCAACATCCCAGCCCCAGGAGCTCGACGACCCTCCCGGAGATCCGCAAACAACTGCCATGGAGCTACTTCCCACCGCTGGAAGAATCCGCAATGCCAAAACGGGTAACCTCCACTCTGACCGAGCACAAGGAGTTCCCCGGACAAGAGATTAGCGCCCCGATAGCCAAACCGGGCACCGTAGACGATCGGTCCAGTGACGAAGGAAGTTAGTTGATTCGATTCCGGATTTTGGCCATTACCACTAATTACATAAATACTTCTTCTCCTAGAATGGAGCGGTCCGGAGTATCGTTACTGAAACCCTGGGTCCTGGGACACGACCGAAACCAAAGATGCCATCAAGTGCGATGTGAAAACGATCAATCAACCAGTCATCCTCTAGCCTGTACGAGACTTGTACATAATCACTTAGTCCGAACCTCTCGCGCTGTTGAGCAGCGTGCAGAGTAATTAGCTTGTAAGCCACTTGTAACGAATCGTATTAAATATAGCTCCGCTGGAATTATAAAATCAAAACAAATAAGTACTCAGAGTACTTGGAGTTTGCTTAACACGTTTGCAACATATGATACTCAATTTCGTCTTCGGGATGCACTTCAAATCGACAACGCCATTACGATGACCGACGTGGGCGACGTGATAAGAAAGTTATTGGCCAACAATCAGGTGGTTGGGCTTGTTATCTGCACTGGCCGGCCAAATGGTTTGACTCAGGAGAAGTCGTTAAGATATTGATACTTTTTGTCTGTATAGACGAGTCGGCCAGCGTAATCTGTAATCCGGGTGTGATTAAAATTTATCGCTTTATTTCGGGTTAGGCTTATCAATTACTCGTGGTGGTTTTCATTTGTTGAATTTTCTGCATTGGTGACTAATTCTATTTTTCAATTATTTCAATTTGCCTTGAAATGTTTTCGAGACAACAGAAAATTAACCTTTGTTCATATCTGTTCATTGACTAAAGATTTTGAGTCAATAAGCAAAGAAGGGATGACTTAGGAGATGTTCTTCGCTCCCTATATTAATGGAATTTACGGTAAATATCTTAACCAAAGAAGATGTTTTCACCGACCCATGGAAGACAATCCATACCTTTGTGGTCGAGCTAGATTCCTTAAACACCGGATGATGCGGAAGATAACAGACTGTTTTGTCTTCATCCAACCGATCGTCATTGGCCATACCGATGCATTTCATGTGCCCTAGGTCCAAATACTCCTGCATAAAATCCACGTAATGCTTGCGTAGATTGGGGTCACCGTTCAACAGTTTTTCTGTTTGAAGAAATCGCCGTAAAGCCGCTTGTTTCGATTCTCCAACCATGCTGTGAAATTCCATGCGTTTAGGATAACGTACTATGTACCTGCCAGTACTGTCACGCTTTACAGTATTCTTGAAGTGTGCTTCACAGTCCTCTTCTTCTTGCGAACGTGGTTTTTTAGTCTCGAGCTCCTCCACTGTCCAGAATTTTTCAATAGCCTTGTCTAACGAATCCACCTTCGCTACATGGCAAGTGATGTTCGTCGCCTCATCCATGGATTCTTTTTCGCCTGTAGCTACCCATCCGAATATCGTACTGACAAATACTGGAAGCGTACTGTCGAATTTGCGAACTTGAAGCCGGCCACGAGGAAGTCGTAAAAATACTAAGCACCCAAAACCAGATCGATCGGACCAGATACAAATAATTCCGGATCAGCTAGTGCCATGTTAGCAGGAGGTTTCCACTGAGTCAACGGAAGAGAAACAGAAGGCTGATCATCGGTAACATGCTCCATAACCAGAAAATCCAGAGCCTTTGAGAAATCTTGCACCCGAGAAGCGATTGTCTGTCCCGCCTTGGTAACCGGAGTAGCTTACAGAGATTTTCAGACATTAAGTTAGCTTGCGATCCAGAATCCAGAAGTGCCCTTGCAAGATGAATCCTTCCCCAAATAACCTTGACGTTCAGCAGAACCGTTTGCAGAAACACGTGCGATTTTGGCTGTCCCATCGTCAGATTAATTGTAATTGATGCCGCCGAACTAGTAACCAAACCACCAGAGTTCGAAGCACCACCCGATGTTGATGGAACAGGTGATTCCTCGTTGTCATTCACTGCTGGAGTAGGAGCAGAACCAGAACCAGGAAAACCAGGGTGGAGCAGTGAATGATGTTTCTTTGAGCATGTCTTGCACCGAAATTTGGAAGGACAATCTCGAGCCAAATGATTTCTTCCTAGACAGTTACTACAGAGCCGTTTGGAGTTGGTAAGCTGCAGCCTTTTGTCATTCGGAAATTTAGCGAAAGTGCTCTCCGTGTACATTTGATTTTTGCGCTTACTGCCTCCTTGGTAGAGTCGTTGACGTTTGCACGTTTCTTTGAGCCACAATCCTTGGAGCTGTTCCGGTTGAATATTTACCTTTCCCAGCAAAACCCCGTCCTCTAGAGGAAGCAAACCTCAAACAATGGCTCCACAACATCGTCAGCTACTTGCAGGGCCAGAACCTGGAACTACTGGGTACTGGATTTTGCCATTAAGAACGCATACAACACTGGTTTAGATGACATTGACACAAGCGTTGCCAGATATACCGATAAATCGATATTTATACCGATTTTCGAACTTGATACCGGTGTATCGATATGGTTTCCCAGAATACCGATTTTTGAGATTTTACACCCATTTATACTGATTTCTTTTAATAATCAAAATTATTATTGATTGCTCGCGCTGAGCTGTAAGAGGAAACTATTTTGACTTTATCTCAATTTATTTGAGCCTCAAAAGCTAAAAAAACTATTAATCTTTAAAAATGTCTTATGCTTGATACTCTTTCGACTACTGTTTCCAATTCCTTGCCATTTTTGGCTGAGAAACAGCTGAAGGCCCATCTCGGTAGTTCCTGAGAACCAGGAAATACTTGTATTCAGTGAACCAATAGGATCATATTGAAGGGATATTTCCTGAGCATGAGCATGAGCATGATTGAGCGCCCACGGTTGCTACTCTGTTATTGCCAGAACAGCTGTAATTACACAGGGAACCAATAGACGATGCTTGGGACTAGCAATCATCCTCAATGTGTAAAAACTGGTGATCTCGAATTAGGCAATACCAGCGCCAGCCGCGCCTGAACGCAGGTCAAGAAAGTTATGGGTAGGAAAGTGTTGACGTGACACTCGCTTTGTTGGAAGCTGAGGACTCCTCTGCACTTCCACATAGAATCACAGGGATGTGTAACCGTTTATTACAGAACATGTTAGATTTTTAATTTGTGCATAGTTGTTAAATGTACCGTCACGTCTCTTAAAGTTATTTGGTGTTGGATTAGTAGGGTTAGTATTCGTTGTAAAAAAATGTTAATTTGTTAGTAGGATTAATTGTTTTTAATTTTGAAAATTATTTAAAACCGTACAGTGGGTATGAGTATTCTATCAGTGGGTACAACAACATTCGGGCGAAACTATGAATTCAAAATGGGTGGAAAATACCCGAGTAGCACACTTTCATCACAATAAGTTAGAGCAACTTGTTTATGACTGAAATAAGTCGTATATAAGTTTCTACAATTGATTTGTGACAAGCGTGCTACTAGGGTAACGTCTCACGAGAATAGCAATGAGATGGGAAAAGTGCGAAGGAAAACCGCCATTCCTCAATCAGTATCTGGCGTTCATGTGCTTCGGATCGTTAAAACCAAGTGTCCTTAAAGTAATAAAAGTGAGTGGTGAATCTCGGAAATACCTATCTGTTCAATCCGGTAATACGGCTTATCTAATTAATTACGGATAGCTAACATTAATCGAATGACCATAGACTAGTACGATAATTAATAAAAATAAACCCCGTTGCCCTCACAGAACCTTTTTGTGGTACCATTCGGTACATCGCCATTTTGTGAACCAACCGACTAAGTCGGTCAGGAAGCACACGAGTCGGATTATTTAGTGGCTATTAATCCTAACAGTAAAGGACATCATTTCGATTTGGCATTGCAAGGTCAAAATCGCCGCATTCCTCAGGCCAAGGCGGCTCTAAACACAAAAGAGGACCCCTCTCAGCAGAGTCACTCCGGCCTTGCCTGGACTCTGGTGATTCTCGTCAACGAGGGTAGACGCCAGGAGACCGCAGATCGCCATCAAGTTAAGTCGATCTGTTGTTCCAACATCACCACCCTGTCAGGCTTGATTTGCCCGACGTCAAGCTCGTCGTACGTAGGATCATCGGCGAGCGCTGCATCGGCAGAGTAGTCTTCGGCGGAGCAGAATCAACGGCAGCAGTTCAGTACCGGTACGTCAAACCCCCATAGTAAAAACCCATTGTACACCCATAAAATTCAATAGAACTACTATTAGAAATCCAATTAACACCTGCTATAGCTTTTATTAATAAACAATTAGTATACACCCTTTCATTACTGTGTCACTTAAACTTTCCATAGCTTTTAGTCAGGTGACAGTACTGCACATTAGGATCGCGAAGCCCCTCCAGATTACCCAGTAGTAAGCCGACCTTGAGACACAGCTCGAGAGGTTTCTTGCTACTGAGCGTTTTTACCGGGATACAGACAGTAGAGTTACAGATGTTGGGTAAGAGGGTTGGGTTAGCAGCAGGGTTCGTTTTGGTAAACGATAAGCTGAATTGATGTCCTAACGATCGTATAACGCGAAGGAGCTTGGGATTGAACCCACGGTCCTCTGCTCAGTAAGCAAAAAAGAGACGAGCTCCTTTTTAATCATTGACGAATCTTGAATGTGGATGGGCCTGAGACTAGACTCATGATGCTCTGCTCAGTAAGCAAAAACGGTTGCTCTAAGGCCACCGAGCCTCTCATATCACATTATAGCGTTACTCAAGTTTTTATAACTATTCAAACCCGGCTCCGACGACAACGAAAAGTTTTACAAAATACACGATAAACAAGCGATATTTTAATATTTTTAATATGAAAGGATCTGGGACCGCGTCTTTCTCCTCAGTAAGCAAGTCACTGCAACCGACGATCTTTGAAATCCTAAAACTAAAAGCTACGAAAGAGTACTTAGGCCTTCATTAAGATCCACTTTCACGCGACGTTCAATGTTTCGATTTTCTCTTTATGCATGGTTCAGACAATCATAGCAAGCAATGAATTTCACTTGGAATGTAATGAACAACAGAAATACGCGATAATTCATATTTTCAGCGGTTGATGTTTAATTTTAAATATACCAACGGTAGTACCTACGACTACGACGGCGATTACGACAACGACAACAAAGAATTTGTAGCTTACCATTTGTCTAGGATAAACACCTTTGCCCGGCACCTCCACTGGTTCTTCATGCCCGCTATCTGTCACTTTTTACAAAATATCTAATAGCAATTACCTTTGTTGTGATACTTCCTGTATTGCCATGGTGATCTGGGAGGAGGTTCGGATCTAGTGCTTTCCCCAGTAACCGTTCACGGCCACCAGCCACCGCCCGTCCAGTCAATCTCCGTCACTCGATGCAAGCCACAGGCACACTTACGCCAGTTCCAAAAAAAAAAACACTTCCGTGCA